GGCAGTAGTTTCACCCTGTAACAGCGCTCAGTAGTGGGCTCTACTGTGTTCTCTCTTACATTAAATATATATAGTGTTCAAAATCCATGCCTGCAGTGTGACCTGTGTGCTGACACACCTCTGAGGTCACAGGTTAGATTCCTTAAAGGTGTGCCACCAACATTAGCTTCAGACGTGGGAATTTCTGGACCAGATGCAGAGAGTGCCAAAGGAAAGAGTATATCTCTTCTCTCAGTAACTGCTGTTAGGATCCCCCTGGGTGAGACTCTTGACCTTCACCGCTCCAGTGGAGCTTCAGTGGCCAGCAGCAGCAGATTGTGGTGTACCGGGATAAAACTCCCAGGACGTACTGGAATACAAGTCTGCGTGCTCATGGCATTTTCTCTCATGCATAAAGATTTAATGGTGTTAAAAATAATCCACCAGCCTGTTTTGATTTGTGTATTGACATGTGAGGATTGAATTGTGTTCTGTGTCTGCCCCCCAGATGAAGACTGTGAGCGTGGCGCTGGTGCTGTGCCTCAACGTGGGAGTGGACCCACCCGATGTGGTCAAGACCTCCCCCTGCGCCAGACTGGAGTGCTGGATAGGTGAGTCCACGCAGACACCAAACAAATAAAAGAGACTCAGATACAAAATAAAGAAATGCTCATAATGAGATTGAGCTTAAATGACACACATGTATTTCACTAAAGGCTCTCACACTGCTTCTCTTGTTGGTGTGAAAATAAACAGATTTTTCTCAGGCATTTGTTTTCCTGAGTGTGAACGCTGTCAATGATTTTTGGACACACTTTAGATAATGTGGATCAAAAACTAAAATGTCAACAAGCGGATATCTTACACACACTAATGCATTCATTATCTCTTGATTGTTGCGTTATCCAGATTCGCTGCAGATAAGTTATTATAAGTGCTTTTAAATTTAATTTAGTGCAGCTGTGATGTTTCTGCTCATAAAGATGATATTTTACGACCACCTCTGTACCCTTAATGACGAGTGTTTACACCTCAGTTTATTATTACACATGTGGTGTGATGCGCATTAGAATATCTTCTGGCGTTTTCCAGGACTATCCATAGTAGGCTGATCAGCCTCACTAACTTTTGATGTGCACCCAGTCATCTTATGAAGCAGGCCTGAAGACATCTGAAGGGAAATGTGTGGAGAGAAAAGAGCGGACAGTAGAGAAATGTCATAAAATTGAGAGGGGAGATATGGAGAAAAATATTAGTTTTCAGTACAAAATACCTGGAGCGTTTTCTCTCAGGAACACGTTTTAGAGAGCTGCCGAGCGCTGAGGTGAAGACTTGTGAAAGTTATTCAAATTGGTAAGCTGACAGGGTTACAGTTGGTTTTACACGTGCCATTTTATTAAAACTGCTAAAAAAAGTTGCATCGCGACTGTGGCCACCTCAGCCTCTGTCCTCGCTTCATGTCAAAGCTGCAGGTTTTTGTGATTTGAAGCTGCAGACGGGCTGAAGCTTGCTCTTCGCTTACAAAATTTGAGCAATGCAACGTTTATTTATTTTATGCTTATTTATTCTATCCTGTTATTCTATT